TTAAAATGATGAAAACGCCCTTTATTTAACCGGATTTTTTGATGGTTGTTAGATCTAAACATTTTCACGATAACCATCTTGTAATTTTAAAATTACAAAGAAGAACAGTGTTAATTTTTGACCAACTATAAGGACCAAATTCGTAGTTTACTCATATATTTATGTTTATTTATAATTAAATTGAATGCTTCAAATAAGTTAGATAAGGAGTTAAAATAGTTAAATATTATGTTAGAACTTAATGATTATCTTAATTATATTTTAAATTATTTATATTTAAAATGAAAATATCTTGTATTTGATTATGTTTATCAGTTAGTTATATGAATTCAAACATATAGCTTTAAAAAGTTAACTTATTGATCATTTACTTCTAATCTGAAATTTAAGTAATATGTATAATTAATCAGTATTTGTGCACTAAAAATGGTTTTTAAAAGAGTTTCAAAATGCTTTATAACATAGTATAGATAAAACATTGATCACAATAAATGAACTCTGATAATTTTTTTATAAATATTTATATCATAATAAATAAACTGTTATCATATATAGAATTATCTCAATTGATTGATTTATATCAGTGATTGAGTTTGAATGAAAGAACCTTCTTAACTATAATTGCAATTATTTAAAGATGTTGAAATAAACAGATTGTACATGTTACTTAACTAATCAAAATTGATTAAAACAATCATGAGCACATATGTTTGGTTATTTACTTTAATTTTAATAAAAAAAATTATTACAATAATAAAATTTTGTTTTGCAAAATCAGTTTATATGGTTTTATGCAGTTAAATACTTTTTTTATGATTTTTTTATCTGTTTCTATTTTACTCATTCGACCTGCTAGAAATTCATATGTATATCTGGGCTGAATTACTTGAAGGGCGTTCAAATAAGAATGTTGAAAAAACAAAATAATATGAGAACAGCCAAATAATATGTGAGTTTACACTGAAATCTCATACAACTATGGAACATGAGAACGCGAGAGTGTGATGGACGACTTGACCTGCAACCTAGGTGGTGATTAAAGTCGCGTCATAATCATATGTGATTTCAATATAAAATCATATGTGATTTAGGTGGCGTTTGTTTTGTAAGAGTTGCTTAAGTTTGAAGTGTTATTGCATTTCTGATTTATAAGAGGTGGTGCGGAAACTTGAAATATGAATCAATAAGACTGTTTGTTTCTATGTAAACTGATAAACGTCTGAATTTGTTTAAATTGTCTATTTTACCCATTAAAAATTATAGTGTTAAATTTATAGATATATATATATATATTTATATAAATCACATATTTATTCATCATCATTATGAAATTCACATCTAAACTATCTAATTAACATTCATTTAAATGAAAATATGTCATTAACGATGTTCAACACATTTAAATTATATTAAGATACATCAATTGGGAGAAACGAAGATCGATTTCATAAGAATCAAATGAGAGAAATGATTGATTAAGTATAATGTTGGAAATTGACACCTCAAATAAGTTAAGAAATATACACATTCATTTATATCTACATATGTTGAGGTGATTATTATGCAACCCTTTATATTTATACAACCAGTACAACTCAATCTCAACCGTTCAATTAATTTGATGAATATGTGATTTCATAAAAGTTTTTATTGTTTTCTAATATAAAGTATTAATCATAATTATTGAACTCTAATAAATGAACTCTCATTATTTCTATAAATACCTTAATTAGTTGGGTTGCATTGGTTATACAAATAGACGTGATTGCATTTGAAATATACTCTATCAATTATATCATATATTAATTGAACTTCAATCAAATAGCATAAATCCATAATAACAACAAAAATAATAACTTTTGTTTCTTTCAAATTAATTTATTTTTTGCTCCAATAATATTAAATTATAGATACCAAAGAGTTTTTAGCCTAGCGATATTGTAGTATATGTCCTCTTAGAAGGTCAGGGGTTCAAACATCGGCAAAAGTAATGAAGGTGTGTAAATTTATTTGTTGCATTTGACGTATATAAATATTATATACTTAAAAATATATATTAAATATAGATGTGCAATTGTTAACTTTTTTTTAATACAAGAATACAATTAAAGTTTAATTAAACACCTCATCAATTATTAAAGACTAGAAGCGTACTCGCGCAATGCAGCGAGATACATCGTGATTTTAATATTTCATTTTATTCTTTATCTCAGTCGATGTTATAATATGATTTTAT